CTCGCCCCGCCTCGCCCCCGCTGAGGGTCCGGTCGCTCGGCGCGGCAGGAAGCCGCGCGAAACCTCGGCAAACTCGGGGGACAGCTTGGGTGCTGTCTGGTGAGACGCGCTGTGCACGTGTGCGCCAGTGTGCACGCGGGGCAGCGGCGTGTGCGTTCGGCTGTCTCGAGGGTGGCACGGCCGTGCGGGCCGCGTGGGTTTATCTAGGAGGGGGACCTTACTGGTTCAGGGCATTGGCTGGGGCGCGCCGGGGATCTTGGCGCTGCCTGCGCGCCCTCCGGACCTCGCGCTCGGTGCGCGCAGCCGGTCTACCGGCGCCGTCAGGCCTCCGGCGGGCCGCCCTTTCTCTGACCTCAAAGCCAGAACCTCTCACTGCCTCAGCCGGCCCCCAGGTCCTCAACCTTGGTGGCTGAGCCTGGAGAGGAGACCCAAAGTACCCCGGCTCCCGCGCGTGTCGGGCACCCGGCGCCCCGCCCCGGGACCTCACCGCGGCGTTCCCCGCGAGCCCAGCTCCGTGGCCGGAGGCCCAGGAGGGGGCCCCGCCCTCCCGCCCCGCGTGCGGCCCGCGGCACTCACAGGTAGCTACCGCTGGACAGGATGAGAAAGAGCTGCGGGCAGTACACGGAGAGCAGCGCGCTGCGCGGCGACAGCAGCAGCATGGTGGGCCGGCGCTCCCGGCGGGGCCGCGCAGGCCCCGCGGACTGAGCGCGGGGGCCGGCTGGGGCCGGGGTCTCCGCGGCCCTCCGCAAAGCAGGGCGGCGGGTCGGGGCGCTAGGGACCCGAGCGCGCGGGCCCTGGCGCAGCCGTCGCCCGTGCCCCGCCTCCAGGGCCTCGCATCTCGCCGGGGCTGGGGCTGCGGCGCGCGCTGAGGTTGGAGGGCCCGGTGGGGGCGCGGGCCGCGGGCGGCGGGTGCGCCTCGGCCGCCGTCCGGCCCTCCCGTCCGTCGATCGGTCGGAACCAGCTCTGTCGCTCGCTCAGTCTCACGTCTTCAAGTCTCCTGAGGCGCCCAGCTGCCATTGGACGGGCCACCCCTACATCCGCCTCCTCCGCGGGCGGGTTTTTTTAAAGGGGAGGCTGACCGAAGCGTGTGGCGGGAGCCGCCTCCAGGGCTTGCCCAAACCGCCCTGCCTCGACTTCGGCGAGCCCCACCGCTCGGGTCCGCTCTGGAGGGCGCACCCGGGGGGCAGGCACGGCGGGCCAACCGCGCGGGGGCGTGCGCTGCTCTGGGGTGCTGTGCGAGGCGCTGGGTGCGCCTGTGTGTATGCACGTGCCTGTGCGTGCCTGCGGCGGCGTGGGCCCGTCTGTGGGGGTGCAGGTGTGTGCGCCCAAATGCACTGTGTTCGCTGCGCCTCTGCCTGCGTGCGCCTCTGGGTCTGGGGAGACTGGCTGTGGGTCGGAAGCGCTCACTGCCATGGCCAACCGGGCCCAGCGTGGTAGGGCTCACCTGTGCACCAGCGCACCGGTATCTCTGCAGGCTCCGGCCTCCCAGCCTCTTTGGAAAGCCTGACAATGGAAACACAGCCCCAAACAAGTGCACAGAAGCCCCCAACCCTGGCTTCCCCTACCTCACTCTTTTGCCCTCCTCTGAGGGGTTGATTGGGACAGGTGTGGGGTGGAGCCAACCCGGGAGGACACACTTTTCTGAACTTCCAGTGTTTTTTTTTTTTTAAAGCCCCAAACAAAAAGATGGTTTGAGTCCCATCTCCTATTGTCTGCCAAGCTGGGGCTGCATATGAATGTCCTCTCGATGAGGTGTAGATCCCTTAAGCAGGAGTTAAGGCACAAAGAGAGACAATGACAAGGAAAGAGGCCTGTGCAGTGGGGCCAGCGGTCCCAGAGGGAGTAGGTTTCCTGGCTTCTAGAGCTGGCATGGAGACTTGTCCCCAACACCCAGGAGGAGGGTCCCATCCCTCTGGGCCCTTCTGCCTCTCCTGAACCCCAAGAGCAGGGGGAAGGCAGGAAGCAAGTTTGCTCCTGGTACTTCACGGCCCCAGTTCCAGGGGGCAGAGGGTGCCCAGACTCCAGACGGCTCCTCCGAGCCCCAGCCTGGCTTCCTCCAGGGCGGCATCCTGCAGGTTGCTCGGTTTCAGAGCCACTTGTTTTGAAATGGCCCCAAATCCAAGGCACGTTTACTCGTGGGGCGGCGATCAGCAACAGGATTCCAGGGGCTGAGCTCTCCCCTCCTGCTGGCCCAGGGGCTCCTCCAAGGCTGCACGTCTGCACTGGCATCGGGGCTGTGGGGCACGTGTGTGTGCGTGTGCACGCACACACGTGTCAAGGTGGGGGTGAGGGAAGCTACCCTGAACATTCATAAACATGGGGGTACAGGCTGGGGGAGGTGGCTGTGATCACAGAGTAGTCCTCCCAATACACACGATTTCAGATGTTTACTTGGAACTCGTGTGACCCTAAAACCCCCACTCCTGAGATTTGTGGTCCTGGAGGAGTCCCCGGGTGCTTGCTGTGATGTCATTAACTGGGACCTCCTTCACCCCTAGAGCGAATATCCCCCAGCCCCGGGGACTGACCTTCCGAGCACCCAGGGCAGGAGGTGCAAGTGTTACCCCAAGTTTCAGGTGAGGGAAGGTGAACTGGCAGGTGAAATAGCCTGCCCAAAGCCACCCAGTGAGGTGTGCCGGGGGTGGAGCCCCAGACCTTTCCTTGGGCACCAGGCTTCAGGTCCTCGAGCCCCTTAGGCCACATCTAGCCCAGCTGCCCTCCTCTGGCTCCAACGCGTGCACCATCGATGCCATGGGGGCCAGGGCTGAGTCCCCTCCCCCTGGCAGACCCCAGGGTGACTCTCTGGCTTCCTGGATGTGCTTCCACAGGGGTGTATGGGGACCGGGTCTTCTCACCCCTCCCAGGATGGGTGAGTGTATGTTTTAAGGGGCACGCCAAAGGGGAGGAGTTCCCCCTCCAGGGCTCCTTGGTGCGGGCGGAGGATAGAGCTGGGGCCACCGCCTGGCTGTCTCGCGCGCTCCCAGGGAGGTTGGCACAGGTGCCTAGGCGCACCGACTGGTCTCACTCCCTGGGTTCTCTGCACGGACACCAGCTGCCATCCTACCCAGGGCAGCCAGAGCTTCAGTTCCATTGCCAGAGGGGAGAGGGGGATTCAGGAAGAACTGGGGGTGGGGGGACCCTGGCCCCAGCTTTGGGAGCTCAGGCTGGGCATCCCCTTCAGCTCCTTCCACTGTCCCGGGCTGGGGAGGTGGTGGTGGGTTCATAGAGCTCTTCCTGCAGCTGGGGGAGGGGTGCTTTCAGATGACCCCCGCTGAGGAGTGGGTTTTAGGGACATGGTCGGGGTGCCTGGCCCAGCTCTGCCTCTCACCCTTGTGGACAGTGACTTGGCCTCCCTTGCCCCATCATTTCCCAGACCTTACAACGAGAAGAGCAAAGGTCTGGCACAAGGCCTGGGTGCTGAGGATCAGGCAGCAGAAGGCAGGACCCGCGGGGAGGTGGGGGTTGCCTATTACTTTATGGGGCACAGGAAGGGTAATCCCAGCTGCTACCTCCTAGGAGGGTCAGGAAAACAATGCCTCCTCCCCACCCCCACCCCCAGTACACTCAGCGCACTGCGCGCTCACCACCCATAAACAAACACCCAGGGACACAGCCTGCACACAGACCCACAATAAACAGAGCCACCAGCAGCCGCAGACACGCCCGCCCAGGCCTGCAGAGCTGAGGCTGGGACAGGGCGCTTCCAGGCTGCCTCTGTGGCCACTGGCCTCCGTCCCTACCGGCCCCGGGGCTCAGTTTCACCATCTGTAAAATGGCAGAGGAGGCGACGGACCGAGGGTCGATGGATGAAATGACTCTTAGGTCTGCTTCTACCTCTCCGCCTGGGAGGCCGCGGCTTGGCCGGCCCTCCCTCGGGGCTCTTCACTGGCTCTGCCCGCCGCCGGCACCGGCCTGCCCTCCCACCGTTGGCGGCGCACAGTAGGCTCGCAGTGCGCTTCAGGGTGATGGAGGTACACCGCACCCCCGTCACGGTCATCCTGCGCGCCCCCCACCCCGCCCCCGACTCCGAGCGAGGCCGAGACAGATTCTGTCTAAAGGAGATCGCAGCTCAACAGGTAAGGACTCGGCTGGCTTCAGGAATGTGGAAATACGACTCGGAGCAGCTACTGCAGCGAGCGCGGCCCGCCGGGCGCCCTCCCGCCCGCCCGCCGGGCCGCGCGAGGGGGAGCGCGGCAAGAGGGGGCCCGGCCGAGGGCCCGGGGCGGGCGGGGCCCGGACGGAGCCCGAGGCGGCCCGGCCGCCCGCGCGGCCCGTTCCGAGCCAGCCCGACGAGTTGTCAAGGTAATTTCAACACGTCCGGGTGATGGATAGAGACGAAGTGCCGCGGCGGGGGCCCAGGCCTGCGAGCTCGCTCCTGGGGGGTGCGCCCCCCGCCCGCCCGGGGCCCTCGGCCGTCCGAAGCCCCCCGCCCCCGCCCCGGCGCGCCCTCCGGGCGGCGAGCGCTCGGCCCGGGCTCCGCGCCCAGCGCAGCCCGGGGGAGGGAAGGCGCGTCCCACCCCCGGGGCCTGGTGCCCAAACAGGTGAAAGTACGCGCCGGGCACGCTCGCCGCTACCCGTGAGCCTGGCCGCCCGCGCGTCCGGCTCTCCCTGCCCCAGCCCTGGGCAGGGCGCCCCTCGCGAGTACCCGCCGCTCAAGGGACTCTGCGGCGTCTCCGCCGGACCGGGCCGCGAGTTCAACACGCAGACCAGCCCGGGATCCTCGAGAGCTGCCCGACCCCCCTCTCCGGTCCCCGCGGGGAGCCCCTGGAGGCGGCTCCCACCGGCTGCTCCCATCCTGGGTGCCCGCCCCTGCCCACAGGGCTACTCACCCGAGCTTCACGTAGAGAACGCCAAAGCAGAGAAACACGTAGAAAATCCACTTGCGAAAGTTTCTGTGCATGATCCAGGGAGGGGGGCTGCGCCATAGACCGCGGCGGCCGGAGGGGACGCGCGGGCCGGGCGAGGGACGGGCAGGAGCGGGGGGCTTCGGTGGACAGCGCTCAGCCGGCGCTGCGGCTCCGGCGGCCGGCGACGCGCGGGCACTGGGCGCGCGCTGCCACCATGGTGAGCCCGGGCCGCCGACGCCGCCGCGTGCGCCTGGGGGAGTGACCTGGGCCGGGGGCTGCAAGCTCGGAGCCGGGCTGAGTGACCGCGGGGCCCCGGGAGCGCCGGCGGGGGCCGGGGCCCGAGCGCGGCGGGCGGGAAGGTGCTGCCTCCGCTGGGCGCAGCAGCCTGGGGCCGTGCGCGCCTCTCCGAGCGCCGCGGCGGCCAATGTGTCCGCACTTGTCGGCCTCCCCAGGTGACTCGCGGCCCCGGCCAGCGAGCTGCGAGCGAGCGAGCGCGCCCCAGGTAGGAGGACCCGCCTCCCGCCCGCCCTCCTCGCTCGCCGCGCGCTCTCTCTCCCTCGCTCCCGGCCTCTCCCCTCCCTTTTCTCCTCCCTCCCCCGTGACACACGAACGCATCTCTCCCCCGGAACCCCCTCCCCAGGCCGGCTCCCTTCCGATCGCCGAGCCCGGACTGGGAGGGAAGAAGGGGGTTGGGTGCGCGGGGAGGGGGGCGAGCCGGGGAGGGCGCGGCCCCGAAGAGACACCTGCGGAGGGGCTGGCGGCTCCTCTGCGTCCGCGAGGGTGGGGGTGGGGGCCCGGCAGGAGTGGCCCCATCGGGCGGTGTAGCCACTCGTCTTCCAGTTTCTAGGGAGGAAGGGAGAGACCACCCACACCCATCCCCGTTCTGGGCACGTTTCCCCTACCCCTCAGAAATTACCCCGCTTGGGGTCCCCCAGGACCACGCCCTTCGCACAGGCATTTCTGCCAGCCCAGAGGACCTCCATCAGAGCCCCTCTTCCAGCCCCTGGGTCCCCACACCTGTCAGGACCGCTGCCGGTGGCGCTTACTGAGATCAGGGACAGGAAACGGACAGACGACGGGCCTGGCCAGATGCAAGGGGCTGGCTCCATGACCTCCTAGGGAAGCCGCTTGGCTGAGCACCGTGGTGGAGACAGATGGGAGGATGCTGGGGTGGCTTCCTTGGCTCTGTGGGAGGCTCCCACCCCAAGGATCCCCTCCTTGCTCTCCCCGTCACCCCGAACCTCTCGGCCTGCACCTTTTCCTCGGCAGTGCCCAGGGTGCGAGGTCAGAACCATTGTGGTGCCTCGCACACCAGAGCATCTGACTTGGCTCAGGGCCGGCCAGCGGGCACCCTGGTGGGCACACGGCCTGCTTTTGGCTGAAACTCTGTCTGGAGAGGGCGGGTCAGTGGCCCTCCGCCTAAGCACTGCCCTGGGCAGACTCCTGTCCTGCTCCGGTGTACAGACCTGGATGCCTCTTGGGCGAAGGGATGGAACTGGGAAGCACTTAGTTTCCGAGGACCAGCGGAGACCTGAAACTTGCCGGTGTGGGAGTGCAGGCGGGAAGGGGCAGGGTGCTGCTGCTGCCGGCCAGCCTGGGTCCCACCTAGCCTACCCGCCCCCCACTTTGAGGGCCCCGCTCCCCCCACCCTGCAGTGCGACCCCCTGCTCCTGATCCCCTCTTAATCCTTGCAAATCCCCTGAACCTTTGCCACCACCCAGGCGCGGGCCATTCCTCGGCCTCTGATCGGAGGCCGGTGGTGCAGCTGCGCGGAGCGGGCAGACAGGGAGCATTTCACAGATAATGGGAGGGACGCTGAAGAGCCTCACTGGCAGGGAAACTGAGGCACAGAAAAAGAGACATGACTATAGCAGCCTCACTCCCAAGTGTTCTCTGCGTCCCAGCGCCCCAGATGTGACCCCATTTCACGGAACGGGAAGCTGGGGGGGGGGGGGGCGGCTGGGGCGCGCGAGCCGATGCTGCCACCCGGCGGCCACGTGCGGACACGAGGCTGCGGGCCCTCCACGACCGGATGAGAGGGGATGTCGCGGGACGCTGGGCCACGCGGGCCTCGGGACTGCGAGGCGGACAGCGTGGCCCCATCTGGGCACAGATTCCGGGGGCCACCTTGCCCCCAGCGCCGCCAGCCTCAGTCTCCGCCTCCGATAATGGGGCGAATCCTGGGGACCTGCGGAGTATGGCGGGACTTCGATAAAGGACCCCCCACCCCGCAGTGGCCGCCTCCCCCCGGCCTGGAGCCTCGGCGACTGCCGAGACCTCATGCCTCGTGGACCCCCGCCCCTGACCTCGATCCGCTTCCCGGATCGGGCAGGGAGACCTCCGAGGTCGGGCAGGCTCCTGGACGAACCGGGCGTGGTGGGGCCGGGAGAGGAGGGGGTGATGGCCGGCGGGTGGGACGCCTCGGTTAGTCCACCCCCTCTGCCTGCTGCTCCCGGCCTGTTTCCCCGGGAGAACCGGGCGCAGAGCGCGCCTCTCGAAACTCGGGTACCACTGCGCAGCGTCGTGCTGCCCCCTGCTGGCCTCGGGGCCGAATGTCGGCCGAGCAGGTACCTCTGGGCGGCTTCCGGGCCCGCCCGCTCAGGGTCCAGATTTCTTGTTGGCATCTCCAAGGGGATTCCTGAATAGCCCCACGGTTGGCGGAAGTCTAGTGTGGAAGAACTCTATGGATCCCTCTCCGTGTGTCTGTGCGTACACACACACAGAGGCCGCATGCCTGAGGTCCCTTCCCAGTCTGGGTCCCCAGGGTCCATTCCAAAGGCTCTGAGGTCTGCAGACACAGGCGGTTACCTGCCTCCTCCAGCCCCACCCCTCCTCCCCCACACCCCTCCTCCCCCACACCCCTCCTCCCAAATGGGTTTGCAGCTCCAGACATCCTGAACAAGGTGGTGGCCAGGGTCTGGCTCCAAGGGTCCCTCATCTGTTTGCTGGAAGTAGAGGGGGTGCTTCTGCTAGGAAAGGGGTTCTGGTATTCAATGAGTGTGGAGACATGCCAATGCCCAAAGGAAGAGTTATCCAGGATCAGAGTTCCCTGGGAACCCCAGATGGGTCTTAGGGCACCTTACTAGGGCTCAGTGGCCTCAGCCCCTCTTCCCTGTGTGACCTCAGGCAAAGCGCTCAAGCTCTGCAACCTGGGTTTCCTCGTGGCAACCTGGGACCAACAATAGCCCTTACACAGTCTGGGGTTCTGACATTTGATTGAGTTAACCCATGTGAAGGTGCCTGGCAACTCTGGCCCCTACCTGCCCCTCAACTCCATCACACACGTGAGCACCCTTGTTCTCCTCCCCCTTGTCCTGTCTTCTGCTACTTGAACACAGCAAGCTAGTTCTGCCCCAGGGCCTTTGTGCATGCTGTCTCTTCTGGCACAGTGCTCTTTCCCTGGTTCTATGTGGCCTTAGCATAAGCGCATTGGAGGGATGCTCACGTTCCTTCCCCCAAACGTACTCACTGGTTTCCTCTATCACAACGCTGCTGTTCCTTGTGACACTGAGGACAAAATGTGGTTATTTGTTTCCTAATTATTCCTTAGGGCTTCCCCGATGGCTCAGTGGTAAAGTATCCAACTGCCAATGCAGGAGACCTGGGTTTGCTCCCTGAGGCAGGAAGATCCCCTGGAGAAGGGAATGACCACCCACTCCAGCATTCTTGCCTGGAGAATCCCACGGACAGGGGAGCCGGGTGGGCCACAGTCCGTGTTGTTGTTCAGTCGCTAAGTCTTGTCCGACTCTTTGATTCCACGGGCTGCAGCACGCAGGCTTCCCTGCCCTTCACTGTCTCCCAGACTTTGCTCAGACTCACGTCCGTTGAGTTGGTATGCTGTGGGGTCGCAAAAAGCCAAACACAGCCTAGTGACTGAGCAACTACAACAGGTGCTCCTCGGGGACCATCTCCACCTCTGCTTTGGCTCCTGCCCTATCCCCAAGATAAGAGAGAACCTGGCATATGGTACAGGCTCTATAAGCAGCTATGGAGTAAGTGGTTTTCCAGGAGGCAGCTGCATCCACGACTGCAGAGCAGGGACCTAACATCGGCTCCTTTGAACCTTGAGTCTGATCTCAGCCACCATCTCCTGCCTTGGCCACAACCCATTCTTGTGCACTTCCTCCTGCCTCATTCTTGCGTCTTGTATTGGCTTCACTCTTAAGTGTTTCCTGAACCCCAGGAACTCCAACTGAGGTGACACTGAATGTGTGTTGGGTCCCGTCTAGATAAGCAGTGAGAGGATTCTAAGCCCAAGAAGGATCTGATGTGCCCCTGTTAGCTTTGAAGATGGAAGGAACTTCATGGTGAGAAATTCAGGTAGCCTTCATGAGCTGAAGTCTTGGAACTGGAGACAGAAGAGAGAACAAAGCCCCATCTACAGGAGGAAGGCCCCTGGGCTAGAGGAGGTTGAGAGGAAATGGGTGGCAACCTTCAAGACTGGGGTCAGGATGGCAGAGGGAGGGGGGAGGACTAGAGGTTGGCATTAGCAGGATGTTTGGCCAGTCCTTGGAGAATTACATGGCTATGATCCATCACGTGGAAGTCCATCCAGTACCTGAGCATTACTACCATGCAGGAGAATGCCGTGTGCTTGCCCAGGCCGAGGAGATGCTGTTAGGTTGACCAGCTGTCCTGGTTTGCCCAGGACAGAGTGGGGGTCCCCAGGATGAGAGATTTTCAGTTCTAAAACCAGATAGTCCCAGGCGAACTGGGCCGAGTTGGTGGCCTTAGCTAGAGCAATTCCTTTTCTCATTGCTGTAGACTTAAGAGCCTTCCGTCGGCACCTGCTAAGACATCCATACATTTTCTCATGGAAGGAAGTCTGCCTGGGGCCCAGCCCCTTTCACTCCCTCTCCAAATTTCCCCATGAAAACACCTTCTCTTCACTCTTTTCAAAGTTCCATAGTACTCAGAAGCCCCACAGGACAGAGGGTGGAGGCAGTGATGGACAGTGAGTATGGAAAGAAATGTCCCCATATCAGTACTCGGATGGGAGCAGACAGTTGAGAAGATAACCACTATTGATTAACACAGCTTGCAGAAAGCAATGAAAGCCATACTCAGAGGCAAATGTATTGCTTTCATCACTAAAAGGAAAGATGAAAATAAGTGAACCAAGTATTGAGATTAAGAATTTTTATAAGTAATGCATTAGTCCAGGATTTAGCAATTAAAAAAAAAAAAAGGCCAGGTAGTAAATATTTTAAACTTTTTTAGGCCACATGCAGTCTGTTAACAGTCTTCTTTGATTTATTAATTTTTAACAACTCTTCAAAAATGTAAAATCCATTCTTAGCTTGGGGCTTTGGCCCCCAGACACAGCTCGCTGACTCCTGTATTCCCAGGATATTTTCCATTGCAAATGACAGAAGCCAAGCTGTAAGCAATAAAAAAAAAAATTTTTTTTTTAAAAAGGGGGGGAAAAAAAGGGGGAAACTGTTGATTCACATAACTAAAGAATCTAAGAGTCTGATGGTAGTGTGGCTTCAGGCATAGCTGGATGATTCTTTACCAGTGATTCTTTATCTCTCTGTCGATGATTCTTTACCAGTGATTCTTTATCTCTCTGTCAATTCTGCTAACCCAGAAGTTAGCCACATCCCAGGCAGGCAGTGGCCCCTCACGGCTCTAGGGTTCTGCCATGCAGGTTGACAACCACAGAAAAGAGAGCTCCTCTTTCCCAGGAGCCAACAAGGTCCTAAGATCAAGTGCCATTGCCTTTGACTGGCCTGGAGGGGGGCTACATGCCTATCCTGTAGCCGATTACTATGGCTGGGGAGGGAGGCACTGTCCTAGGATTTTGGAGCCCAGATTGGGGCCATTCCCATCGACAGTGGCTCCAAGAGGGAAATGGAAGAAGAGAGTGAATGCGGGGCGGGAAAAATAAGCAGTGTCCGCTGCATGCTGAAAGCTCTGTGTTTAGTGAACACTTTACAGCACAGCCGCTGTCACTAACTCGTTTACTCTTCATCACAGCCCTGTGAGGGAGGTTTTATTATCACCCCATCTACAGATGAGCAAACTGAGGCCTTGCTCAGGGACTCGAGGGTGACCGCGTATTGGAAACTTACCATGGCCTGTTCCATCAGTAGCTCAAGGAAGAAGGGCCACAAGCTCATCTCCAAGGATGCCAAAAAGACACTGAGAAAAACTGAAGACTCCTTGATTGGAAAAAACAAACAGAAACCCTTAACAGAAAGAAACTCTTAGAAAACATGGACCCGAGGCTGCTCCATCAGCGTGACAGGAAACACTTGGACTTCATCATCTACCTCCCTCGCTCTCTCTCCCCAAAGCCGGTCTTTTGAGCCCTTCACTTGCTCCTCTAAAGCCATTCAGCCTGGAGTCCCGGCAATAGTCTGGTCCATGATTTGACGCTGCCTCTGTGCCTTTTCCACGCTCTTCCATCCTGTTCCCCATCAGGAATTGCTTCCTTCTCCTTTCTACCACTATTTACAGCCGGACTCTGACCACTTATCTCCTGAGCCCTTAGGCTGGGTCAGGTCATGAAGGGTTCTGAGAGCCAGACCAAGACCTTGGACCTTGTCCTTGGCAAGAGCCAAACACTGTGCCCTCAGGTGCCTGAGCAAGCTGGGGTTTCTCAATGGCGGCACCACAGGCTTTTAGGGCTGGACCATTCTTGGTGGGGGTGGGGCACTGTGGTGGGCGCTGGAAGGCATTTAGTCGCATCCCTGGCCTCCACCCACTAGAAGCTTATAGCATCCCTCTCCTCATTGGAACAACCCAAAGTATTTCCAGATACACTAATGAGAACCAAAGGTGTAAGCTACAAGATGTGGACTTGTGAGTGTGGAGGATGCAGGTTCTGTCCATCCTGTGGCTCGGACATCCCCAGGACATGGCTGAGTCAGCCAGGCATAGATAAGCATGGGTACATTTGCAATCCTGCTTGGCGGAAGCAGAAAATTCCAAATAAGCAATTTCCTTTTAAGCCCGTGACGCAGCATCTGCATTCCCTCTGCCCACATTCCACTGATTCTGGCCGGATTCTGCTCACACTCAGCTACAAGGGACAGGGAACCCGAGGTCATGAGCTGAGCTGCTGGCCAGGCCAGTTTCCACTTAGAGGACTGGTGGTCACACAGACCCAGACTGGGGAGAGGGGGGCAATGGGTTTTGGAGGACAAATGACAGTCCTTCGCATTCCTTTAGGCTCTGGTCCCACCCCCCCCCCATAGCCATTTTCTGACATCCTCCCATGCTATCCATCGGATTCCCATGAGCCCCTCTAGGCCTTTGGTCCAGAGGGTGCAGCCTTACTCCCTTACCTTAGTACAGGAGACCTTGCATCCAGAGTCAGGTCCTGACCCAGCCGGTCGTCCACTGGTCCCATGTGAGCCACCCAAACCACATGCAGTGTTTCAGCCTGATCACTCCTCTGGTTTTCGTGTTATCTCTCTTCTTCAAGACTTCTTCCGCACTATACCAGCTTTGACTAGGGTTGACTGCCTATAACAGCAAAGCTCAAAACTGCAGTGCTTAAACAAGGTAAATGTGTGTTTTTTCTTTCCCATAAAAGAACTCTAGATGTGGGCAAGCTAGG